ATGGGTTAAGTGTTGGGGTTTAGATTGCCCGAAATTCCCGAAACCCTACAACCCTAAGCCCTCAACCCGGCTGATTCCGAGCCCCCTAAACCCCAAAACCCTAAACCTGGCCTAAACCCAAAAGCCTTAAACCCTTCCTTAACCCTAAATAACCTACCTTTCTAGGGACTTGAAACCCTAAACCCTAAACCTTGCCTAACTAAACCCAAAAGCCTTCAACCCTTAACCTTAAAAACCTAATGCCCTAAAGCCCAACAAGTTGATTCCCCAGGAGACGCCGCCTCCAGCGTCATCCGCTTCTCGGCCTTCGCCTTGAGGATTGGGTTCAGGGCCTCCTGCGGCGTTTTTTTGGGTTGAGGGTTTAGGGCTTTGGGCTTAGGGAGGTTTGGGGTTTAGGGTTTAGTCTTTAGGGTTTAGGGATTAGGGATTATAGGGTTGAGGGTTTAGGGTTCAGAGAGGTTCGGGTTTTAGGTAGGGTTAGGGATTACAGGGTTGAGGGTTTAGGGTTTAGGAAGGTTTGGGGTTTAGGGTGCGGGGTTGATGTAAGGGTTGAGGCTGGAGGGCGGCTCTTTTGTGGTTGCAGTACAGCCTCGACGATGCATAGAAGCCGCTGTCTCCTCAGCGACGATGGCTGTGATGTTAAGACGCCCTCAGCCTTACATCAAGTCATAGGTCAGTGCTGGTAGGAAACCTCTAGACTCTAACCCCTCAACCCTAAACCCTCAACCCCTAAACCCTAAAACGCCGGAAGCTCCGGCACATATCCAGGTGCTGTCCCAGCCGCCGTGCCATCGCCGGCTTTCGGAGCATGGCCCCTGTGTCACTTGTGTGCATGGTTCAGGGATCACGGACTGCCGCGCTGATCGTGTAATATAGGATGTTATGTTATGGTTGTTAGAATATGTTTTTAGTATACTATGCCATATTATAGTATATTATACAATATATGTATATGTATATATATATATATATATATATATAGACAGAAAGTAACACACTAGAGGCCCCAGTTTTTCATGCCAGTCGGGTCTCTCTCTCTCTCTCTCTCTCTCTCTCTATATATATATATATATATATACATATGTATGTATACACATATATATATATATGTGTATTCTATAGTACGTTATGGTATGCTATAGTATATATTTAACGGTACACGGCTTCGTCTGTTGAGGTCTTTGCCACTCTTTCGATGAGGCCCTTATTACTGGAAGTCCTATGTCCAACACACGACTCGTCATCCCCTCGCAAGACCCGAGTTGATCAAGTTCGTCACAAGCTTCCATCGTTGTTCAGGAGCCACCACCACCAGCGCCGCCACCATCACCACCACCGCCGCCGCTTCGCCACCGCCACCCACCACAACCAGCGGCACCAGCACCACCACCCAGCACCACCACCGGCACCAGCAGCAGCACCAGCACCACAACACCAGCACCAGCACCCGCGCAGCAGCAAGCTAGCTGTCTAGAACCTAGCACTTTTGAGGCCAAATTTCACAAGATGCCAAAGTATACACGACAAGGACGATGCAGGATAAGCCCAACGGGACCAAAACGCTCAAACCGCTCATCCCAAGCCCAATCTCAAGGGATACCATCGAAAGCATATGGGTAGTTCTCCAAATTGAGGTCCCTTTTTAGGTCCCCAAAAACCCAAAATAATGCGGCACCAGGAACAAAAAGGAACACCCAAAACGACCCAAATTTATAGAACTACCCGTATCTGGGCACGTGGCGAACTGCAGAAGCATTGCAAGTGGTTGTAACGACCACAGGAACGGGCCAGCATCCGGTTAAGTAGGTAGCTAGATTGCTATAGGGCTTTCAGAATTAAAATAGTGTTTTGGGGCCCATGAGACTTTTATCATAATACGGAATCCCGACATCGTATAGGTAACTTATAAAGCCCCTAGATTACGGTCCGTGTATGGTTTTGGACGCCTACTTGGAGGGGCAGGGGGCTTAGTAAATCGTTTATAAGTAGGGTTATAATTGGGGTAACTCCACTTGAGGGACTTATAACTCTATTTATAACCTACTTACTAAGTCCCCTGCCCCTCCAAGTAAACCCTAAACCCTAAACCCCAAAGATCCCTTTAAGGAACCCTATAGATCCCTTTAAAGGAGCCCTTTAAGGAACCCCTTACTAACTCCCCTGCCCCTCCAAGTAAACCCTGAATCGATTTGGATTGCTGGAGCCCCCGGGACCGAGTCAGGGTTGGTTGTACCCAGAACCTCCAAAACCCCTTCAATTCAGGAATATACCTCAGTGTCGCTTGAATGGTTACTTAAAGGGATCTCTAAGGGTTCTAAGAGGAAATTAACGAATATAGTTTTCTTAAAATATAGTAGGATTCAGAATATGATTTAAGGTATATTCCTTTATTAAGTGGTTTTGGAGGCCCTAGGTGTTGTAATCTTGGGTTGCAGCAGAGCATGTTTCCCAACTCTGTTCTCTACATACCAAGTCCCATGTGTATATGTATACATGTGCATATATAATATGCACATATATATATATATATGCACATGCACGCAGTGTACATCCCGAAACAAACAGATGAAATTCAACAGCACTAGCAGACCAAACATGTGCCCTTGCAGTAGACGTAGAAGTTTTGATTTGGGGTTGCTGCAGGGCACCTCATGTCACCAGCACGTTTGCCGTGCTGCTGGTTGGAATTTTCCTGGTTGTGACCATGATCGCGCCTCGGATGGTATGATCATGCAGACCTTAAAACACCGCTAGTTCCTAAACCCTGAGACTGATCCCACTTTGAGGTCGTCCGACGCCTTTGGTGCTTGAAATGCAGGGCAGGAGTTGAGATGTGGGTTCTTGCTTCTGAAGCCCACAGGGATGCGTGCTTTACCAGCTGGTCATATAGCAAAAGCTTCAGGGCGTTGGTCTGTGGTCGGGTACTGTGAACTCCCAATCTCGAGACACCGGGCAGGGCACCCTGAACTCTTCGGGGCTTCAGAAGTTGTGAAGGCATCGCAGAAGAGTTGGATTGACGGTCTGCCCCCCAAGTTTTCCAGACGCATGTCTCTTCCCCGGCACAGGCCAGGCCCTAGCCTCCACTGTGTGGCCAGAGACGGTAGCTTCGCTTCAGTATCATGGTTCCTGAAATCCAAACCCCAAACTTGTGACCCACTGCTGTTGGAAAGGAGTTCTTGTGAAGGCCAAAATCTACACTCGAAGGTCTACTTGATGTTGACCATCTCTTCAATGACACCGTTCTCAGAGATCGGCGAGGAGAGGCAGTTTGGTGCTCCTTTCCCGGTTCAGCGTTTAGTTTAGGTGGGATTGCCCTGCATGTTTTTTTTTGTATTTGCGGAGATTTCGGAGTACTTATTGTGAGGTCATCACAGTAAGACTTAGTAAGAGCCCGAGTATTTAAGGTCATCTTCGGTGCGCGTAGTTTCCAACGTGAAGATATCCGCCTGGGTACCCATACCAGGAACACAAACACGTTATATTATGTAACATTTGTAGGTTATAATTTGCCAGTATCCTCTATTACACTTTATCATATTATACACTCTACGCCAGTCCCACGCCACCATGTCAAGGTATGAGCCCTGTGGGCCGGACAGTTTACCAATGCCTGAGCAAGGGTCTTACTCCTGATCGCATCTCTGTCAGTTTTTTCTGAGGATTTTGCAAATTCGTTGGTGCAGCTTTTGGTGTGTTTAGGGTTTTAAGGTTTAGGGTTTTTGGGTTTAGGCTTCGCGGATGAGGATTAAAATTTGGATCATCATTATTCTTGGCCTTGGCCTCCTTGGTGGAGATTTGGAGTGGGCAGCGAGCTCTAAACCCTATCCCACAGAAAGCCCTAAACCTCAAACCCTAAGCCCCATGCCCTAAGGACTTAAAGCCTAAACCTTAAGCCCCCAGCCAGCATAAAACTTAAGCCCCATGCGCAAAGCCAGGAAGCCTAAGAGGGTAACGCAGCCTGTGCCAAGACCTACGAGAAAAAAGTCAGGTTTGGTGCTGAGCCAAACCTGAAGCATTTTGGGGCTTCCGCGGTTTGCAGTTAAATTCTAGTTGTAGGGCCTACTTGGAGGTTCAGGGGTAGTTATAAGTGGGATTATAAGGCACCGAAATGGGTAATACTTCATAAGCCTACTTAAAACTACCCATGAACCTCCAAGTAGGGTTTGATTTAGGGCTTCAGTGTTAAGGCTTAGGGTTTAAGGTTTCTTAAGGACTTTGAGCTTGGGAGTCGGGGCTATGTTCCGCTGGTTTCGACGCATCACCTTTTGAGGCGGATAGTACATGGGTAGTTCTCTAAGTTAGGGTCCCTGCCCAGGTCCCCAAAATAATGTGGCACCCGTATAAAATGGACCCCAAAAGGGACCATTTAGAGAGGCTAACCCGCATTCGGGATCAGGTGGTAAGGTGGACTTCAGGGGCAAATAGGTGGTAAGATGTGGCGTTGTGACGGACAGCGTGCTGTGGGTTTACAGTAGGGTTTAGGGCTGCTACAAATAATTGCCAATACTATTTTGTATAATTATAGTATAATGGAACCCAAACCCTATTCTGATTCATAGTTAAGGCCCCTACTGTTGATGGACAAAACCCTGCATGACCCTAAGGACTCTAAACTATGGGAACTATGGTATATTCCTTATAATGGGTAATGCAGGATTTTGTCCATCAGCAGTATGTTAAGGATTCAGCAGGATGACCGTTCAGGGTGGGTTGCTGAGCCCAGGACCCAGGCGACGTTTCGTCAGGATATTGGAGGTTTGAGTCGCCCTACCTAGACCCCCCAAAGTAGGTAAAATAATGGCCCAAAACCTACAAAAGGCAATTATTCTACATACTTCTGGGGTCCAGGTAAACTCTAAACCCCTAAACCAATAAACTCCTAAACCCTAAACCCGATTCCGTGTTCCGATTTGAGGTACAAAGTTTTTCGATAGGGATTCTGTTGCTGCTTGGGGGGGAATCCTGGCAACTTTGGGTTGTCTGCGTCGGATCCTGGAGAGGACCATCGCATTCACAACAAGACCAAGCGACCCAAAGTGGCTTGGTGGACAATATTCATTATTCGGTTTAGTGTTTAGGGTTTAGGGTTACCACAAAACTTTGAATACTCCGGGAGTTGGGCTGGAAAGTTTTTTTTGCTTCTCGGATCATTTCGGGGTTGAGGAGCGGCCGCGTGAAAAGGAACACCCGGCCTTATACGGTGTACGCTGCTCAAGAAGGTCTTTTATGGGAGTTTCCGTCAGGGTTTAGGGTTTGGAGTGTCAGGTAAACCCCTAAAGGGAACTGCAGAAAGTTTGAATATGGATTAATGGTAGGATCCCCTATAATTTACCTTAAAGGGGTTACGATAATGTAATAATGATATTCCAACTTTCTGGCTTCTTCTGTAAACCCTAAACAAGCACCGAGGCCCCAATATTGGCTCCTCCTGGTAATTCTCGCGGTGCACCAGTTGGAACAGAGCATCAAAACCACTTTAGAAGGTTCAAACCCTAAACCCTAAACGGTTTAGATGCTATTGGATTCAGGGTTTTGGATTCGCCTGGGCTTGGGTTCTGGCCGGGGTATGGTATAGTTTCCAATAGAGAAGGGTTTAGGGTTTAGGGTTTGTCATAGTATTTGATCGGTGGTTACAGGATATTTTGGCATTGGTGTATTGAAGTAGCCTATAGAATATTAAGGCTCAGTGTTCAAAGTTTCGGGCCTTTTATTGGTTCATTGAGGTTGGCTCGTTCATGGAGTAGACGTTCTGGTGTAACAGATTTTCGGAGTTTCATGTTCATGGCTTGAAAACCTTCGCTTTTAAGTCCTAAACCCTAAGCCCTAGGAGAAAGACAGATGTGTCGAAGGCTTCAGCGGCACATCGTCCTGCAACCCACATCGGGAACAACAGAAACGGGAGCCACCATCGTTTGGTGCAGTCGTTAGCCCGGAAGCATAGAAGGCTGAGCAAGGGGTAGTGCTATCTTTAGGGGTCCTTAACATGGTTATAGTGTAGTACTGTAGGATACCGAGAAACCCTACTCTAATTTTCTAAGGCCCTATGTTTCGGCCAAGGTGGGTAAACACTGGACGTTTGCCATTTGCGGCCGCTCGCTCGTTGTATTTTGGAGCCCGGGTGTTTGCACCGAACCGATTTGTGGGATTTAGGGTTTCAGAGCTTTAAGTTTAAGGCTTTAGTTTTTCGGTTGGCAGTTGGGTTTGGGCTGACGGCTTGTAGGTTGCAGGTCTAGCTGTTTGCTCGGCCTTGGTCGTTCAGGGTTTAGGGAGCTACAAAGTCTTAAAGTTCTGTTTCTGGTAGCCGGACCGACATGCTCCCGACCCCCCTTGGTCCATTAGACTCCGCGGAGTTTTTCAGGGAGTGTTACAGTATTGGCCGAGTCGGCAATAGAGTCTTTAGGGTGTTGAGCTGCAGACACTTGGCTCCTGAATCATTGGTCCTAACATTCAGCACACTGAACGCTGCTAGACTCCGAACAGCACAAATCTCAAGCTCTGCAGCACTCACTCCTAGATCCTAAACCCAACATCTCACAATCCCCAAAAACTTGAATCACAGACCTCCATGCCATACCTGAGGCAAGCATCTCTTGCAGACTTTTCTCATCCATTACCTGTGCTGGCAAGTTCTGGCCGCGACCTCGGCTGCCCCATTCTCATGGGGATGTGGGCTTCAGGGTTTGTAAGGTTTCAGATTGAGGGGTTTGGGCAGGTTGGGCTCTCTTTAGGTTTGAGCTGAATTTTGGGCTGAGGGGTTCGGGATGTAGGCCTGGAGATCAGGATTCAGGTTATTGAAGGGGTCGGGAAATAGGAGACTGAGGAACTGCCAGCATTGGTGACGGTTGGTTGTCAGGGGCTGTTCCTAGGTCTTCGGTGCCTGTCTATCTATCCATCTGTCTGTCTGTTTGTCTTGCTGCTAGCATGTGCACATACATTGCGCTGCCTTGCATGACGCTATGTCATGTTATAAATTAGCATACCCTACATCGTCCCTTCATCATCACTCTACATGACATTACACCACAGCTCATACATATGCGCACAAACACACACAAGCAGCCAAGCAAGCAAAACAGGGACCCTTTGCAACATCTTGACCACCCAGAAGTCCCAGCTTGGAGCCCCTAAACCCTAAACCCTAAACCCTACCTTATGGACCCCTTTCAGGAACCCTTCAAGGAACCCCTTGAACTTTAAGAAACCCTTTAAAGGAATCCTCAAAGGAACCCTTACAGGAACCTTTATGGAACCATTTGCAGAACCCCATTTTAGGGAGCCCTTGAAGGGTCCCAAGAGTCCTAAACCTTCAACCCCAAACCTCGGTTTAGGGTTTAGGGTTTAGGGTTTACAGGAACCCTATTTCTCCCCAATAGGAACCACTTAGAGAAACCCTAAACCCCAAACCCCAAGACCTGTAATCCTTATAAACCCTAAACCCTATAATCCTTATAATCCCTATAGTCCCTAAACCCTAAACCCTCAAAGAAACCCTAAACCCCAAACCCGCAAAAAAAGCCAAAATTATCGCTTTACTCATAGGCTCCATAGCAGTTCCTTTTTGGGATTACCTTATAGGATTCTATATATGAGCCCCAAAAAGGAACTACTTTGGAGCCTCTAGGTAAGCCCCAGGAGCCGGAGCCTCACGTGGCCAAAGAGCGCGTCTCCGACCGAGAGCTCCCCGGCGCACGACTGGCCTTTAAGGGTTCTGTTGAAATGCTTCTCACTGCATGCCCAGGTATCAGGTTAGACAGGTGTGTAGTCTGCTTGAAGGGATTGCCGGCACTTGTATAGTTTCCTTCAGGTAGGCTTGTACATGTGTGTTTCCTGTATCCTTTGGCTTAGGGGAAGGCTGCGTAGGAAAGCCTCTTGAGCCATGTGTACTGTAACCAACAACTTGTAAAGCTGTACAGGTCGTTTGTTGGTTTGTCGGTTCTCTTGTTGCTTCGTTGAGATCGTGAGTCGCCTCTGCGCCCAGCCATAGAAAACATTCTGCGTGAGCTTCGCTGCAGGGTATGGCCACCCAGGGTGAACACCTTCAACAGGTGATGAGCCCAACGCCTGGGCCAGAAGCAACCGGAGCGGTGGCTTCTCCGGCCTCTCTGCCTGGAGTGCGGGGAGGCGGGGATGCACCGCAGACTACAGTGAATGGTACAACCGCCGGAGTTGGAGTGCCATCGCCCTCTGGGCTTGCGCAGCCTATTGGGGATGGAATCCAGCAAACTATGATGGATGCGTCGTCGGGGCCATCGACTTCCACAGCTGGTCCAGTGCTATCCCCTCAGCTGCCACAAGAAACTGTTGGAACAGCCGGTCAACCGAGAGTTTCAGCAGTCGGTAGGACAGGAGGCGATGGAACACTAGGCCAGGTTGGAGGCTTGGGCACAGCTGGCGTTACGTATGAAGCAGTATCTACCACGGAGGTCGCCGATGCGAGTGGGGTGCATGGAGATGCAACTGCAGTGACTCAGGGTTTCAGTGTGGCCACCGAAAGTGGAATGGCTAGCGCTCAGATCAATGTTGCCGCAGGCGTCTCAGGGTACAACCCATCTGCAGCGAATCCTGGAAGTAGTGCTGAGGGCTTTGAAACGCCCAGATCAACGGCGTACGGGGCGTCAGCGGTCATGCAGACTGGGGCTCAGGCTTTTGCTAGTCAGTTGCTAGGAAGAGTGCAGTCTCTGTTTGGTGGCGCGGCGAACGTACAGCCACTGCCGCAAGGGTGGGCTCCCAGTCCACTGACTTCTCCTCCAAGGCCGTCGCGACCACTACAGCCCCTCGAGAGAGGAGGCCGCGTCCTGCAAGATGAGTGTCAAGTGCCGATGCCGTTGTTCACTGGTGCCAACGCGCAGCAGCTTGCTGCCATGGAGCAAAGAGCTCCCTTGCTCTACGGGTCCGGGTCTCCGGACAGGCCTCCGCACACCGAGTCCTCATCTATTCCGCATGATGCGATTCAGGCAGAAGTCGCGCGACAGCTTGATGGGTTGAAGCAGCAACTGCGAGCTGAGCAAGAGAGAGCTGGTCGTGCTGAGGCCGAACTCTCGAGGATTCGGTCTCAGCAGGCTGGTGAAGTTGAGGCTACGGCGTTGCAGCAGGTGGGTACTAGGGAGGTTGGCTTTAGTGGGTTTGGTGATAGTGGGTTCGGTTCGCATCCTGTCGCCAACACTGGGGTTGGATTTGCCCCTTCTTCATCCTCACCGCCTCCTCCTCCGCCTCCTTCCGCTCCCGAGCCTCAGGGCTTCGCTGGTTTGTTCTCAGGGCTCCTTGGTTCCGGTGCGCGGTCTTCCAGCCCTGCACCGCAGAGGCCACAAGCAGAACCCAGAGGCACACTGCCAGCAGGAGCCGCGAGTGCATCAGGACCCACAGATCGTGAGATACTGATTGCTGGGATGCATCAACTTCAAGATGCCATGTCAGAGATGCTCAAGGGATCTCGTGCCGAACGCGATGGCGGCAATTCTCCCACCAACCCTGAAGCTGTTAAGCCAGGCATCTCGAGTTTCCCAGCTTTGGCAGAGCTCACTTCGGATGAAGGGTCTCTTCTGTACCAAGATTGGTTAGTCGTGATTGGGGGTTTGGTCGGTGATGTTTCGGACACAGCAGCAGAGTGGTGGCGTCAGGTTTTGGGTGTGGTTGATACGGCCTATGGGGTTTGGATTTCGTCATCACCCTTGGATAGGCTAAAGGTTGAGCCAGTTGTACCGGCTGAGTTGCTTCAAGGGCGATGGGCGCGTGTCAACTTTAGGATCTGTAGTATGCTTATGGCGGCAGTTCCCGAGTCTATCAAAGCAGACATTGTGGCCCGCAAATGCAATCAATCAGCTCCTTCCATCCTTTTCCGTTTGCACACCACGTACCAACCAGGTGGAGGTTCAGAAAAGGAGGTTATTCAGAAGAATCTCATGCAGCCCACTCCAGCATCTGATCCCTCCTCAGCCGTGAAGTCTTTGCGTGAGTGGATTCGTTGGTACAATCGCTGTGAAAGTTGCAACATGTCACCTCCGGACTCGACCATTTTGTCCAAGAGCCTCACTACCATCACTAGCCAAGTTTTGGCGCAGCATGAAGAAGCGAAGTTTCGAACGTTTATGCTTCGTTCCATGTTAAAAATGGATGCTCAACCAACTTCGTCTGCAGTCCTGGAGTACCACAAGCACTTGCTTGCAGAGATGGAAGCCCTTGCAGTCTCTAAGGCCACAGGTGTGAGTGCCCCTAAGGTTCGAGCTGTAGGCACGCCCAGTCCGGGAACATCTCCAAAGGCCAGTGGGCAGCCGCAGGCTTCAAAGCCCTGCAAGTTTTTCATGGGTACTTCGGGGTGTAGGCGGGGTCCTAAGTGCACGTTTAGCCACGACATGTCAGGACTTTCTCGTCAGGAGCGCAGCAAAAAGTGCTTAGCATGTGGCTCTGAGGCACACCGCCAAAAGGACTGCCCGGTAGCTGGAGGAAGCCCAAAGGGGAAAGGACAGCCAGGTGGAGGAAACACCAACAATGCTGCAGGCCACAGGCCTACAACGGCTGATCAGGCGTCTACTGCAATCCAGCCGGGCGCGAGCCCAGGCCGAGCGGAGGACTTCACAGCGTTTATGCGCATGATGTTTGCAGCTGCCAGTTCTTCCGAAGCCTTTCCTCCTGCATCCACCCCAGCCGCTCCCGCGCAGCCTCCGGCGATTGAAGACAAACCTGCAGCGCAGGAGGAGCCTAAGCCGAGCATTAAGACCATCCATCTCACAGCCATTGAGCCTGGGCAGGTTTTGGAAGTAGATGGTAGTCCTAGTTTTTTGGCTTTGGTAGACAGTGGGGCCACTCATGCCCTTCGCGCTGCAAGTTCCGAAGCTGAATGGGCTAGTGCGCAACCCGTTGTCGTGTCACTGGCTGGAAAGGAGACTTCGGCTATGCGTTTGTCTGCTGCTGGTACTCTTCTGTTGCCTCCCACATCTAGTGCCCAAACCATCGTGCCGCTGGGTTCTGTCATCCAGCAGCTGGGGTATCGTTTGGATTGGACTGCCTCGCGATGCCGTTTGATTGCTCCTTCGGGTCGTGCCTTTCGCTTGAGGGTTAAAGGTGGGTGTCCAGAGATCATGGAATCAGAAGCCTTGGTGCTAATCAGCAAGCTAGAAGAAAAGCGGCTAGAGGACTTGAAGTCTCTGGAGGCGAATGTGGCCGAAGGTACCTCTCGCATCCGAGCTGTCAAAGCCTTGATGTCAAAGAGCTGGTGGGATCACATGCAGGACTATGTGAGCCTTGGATCTACCAATTCAGCCCAACTAGCGTTGCAGGCCGCGCCTTTCTTGGCAGATGTTCCCCAAGCAGCTTTGCAGGGACTTGTTGAGGATGTTGCTCAGGTTTCAGGATGGGAGCTCCTAAAGGGTTTGACGCATCTCAATCGGCGTCGCCGTCGTGCATTGCTCAATGCCCCAGAGTGGATTGTTCATCTGTACGCTGGAGCCCCAGGCCCTAAACCCTTTTCGCACCTTGAGTCCAAGAATGTGGCTGTCCTGGAATTGGACATTACCAGAGGCTCAGACCAAGATGTGCTACGCACTCCTGCTTGGCGCGCTCTAGTTTGGGGTGCCGTGCATGGCAAAGTGTCGCATCTTCTTGGTGCTCCACCGCGTGGTACGTTTGACACACATGCTCATGGGAGTAGCGTTGTCCCACCTGTGCGCGGGCCATTGGACTTATATGGCCTTCCAGATTTGTCAGCAGCACAACGGTCGAAGGTTGATCGTGAAACGGCTTTGCTTTGCCGACAGATTTGGTTGCATGCTGTGGCGACGGCAGGTCGCAAGGTTAGGCCGCCAGCTGGAGTTACTAGGCTTGAGGTTGGCTTTCTGCTTGAGCACCCGATGCTTATTGATCGCTACGTGCCTCCTTCGCATGCCTTGTTTGGTCAGGTCCCTAGTTTTTGGAATACTGGACTTTGGAATTCCTATGCCGATGAAGCAGGGTTGTTTGAAGTTCATGTCTACAAGGGGGATTTAGAGCATGTGATAAGTAGGCCTACGACCTTAGGCACGAACTATGGTGATTTGCAGTACCTAGAGACCCTAAGCCTTGACAAGGGTTTGCGTGGTGTCACTGTGCAGGCAGCCGCTGCAGAGCCTGAGAGTGAGAGCAGTGGCATGCCTCATCTGCATCGCAAGTCCCATGATTCAGCTCGATGGGCCCCTGGTTTTGCCCAAGCCGTGAGCATGAGCATCCAAAACTGGTCTAGGTGGTTCCGCATTGCCAAAACAAAGGCAGACGAACAGGCTTGGAGGGATCATGTGAAGAATAATCACCAACCGTTTCGGAAAGACTGTAGTGTGTGCATCAGAACTGCCGCCTCAGGACGCCGCCACGTTGGTGTGACTCACCCCTCACAGTTTACTCTGTCTGCGGATGTCTGTGGACCTCTGAAGGTGCCAGGTGCTGACCCGGAAGGTAGGTCAAAGGCGCCGAAGAAGTTCAAGTATTTTCTAGCTGCTTCGTATCGCTTTCCTCGTTTGCACGGCATGCCCGAAATTCCAGATCCCTTAGATGAGGTAGATCTCTCCAAGGAGGAGCCGCTGGACGATTTCCTTGAGGGTGCAGGTACAGGGCTAACTGAAGAAGAAGCGAGGGATTTCTTAGAGAATCTTAGTGAAGATGATGCCCCACCTCTTCCGCCTCCGCCACATGCTCCGGATGACGGTTACAG